TCACCATATGCAAATGTGCCATCTAGCTGGTAGACATAATAGACCATCTCTGGAAGGAACAAGATTAATAGAAAACAAGAGTAAACCAGAGTTGTATTTGCTCAAGAAAACTAGTTTCACAAGTACTTTCTCCTGTCAATCTAAATTTAGAAGAGAGAAAAAGGACTCATGCTTCTTTCATCAAAGCCCACGAACAGAAGATCAGATGTCTGATGGGGTAAAATGCTCACCATCTCTGCCAACTGTGGTCAGATGTCCATTCTCTCTCAGCTGCAGCAGACCAGGGAGTAAGCAGTGTCCTAGCCAGTGAATTCTGGCTGGCTCACCAAAACTGTGGAGGCTAAAAAAACACTTTTCCTCCCAACTTCTAAGTTCTTCTAGCTGAGCCAATAATCAAATTAACAGAGATTAACAGGAGAAAATACAATTTTTAATACATGAGCACAGGGACTCCACATATGCTTGAAAATTCCAGGCAGTGAAGCAACATTGGGTACATATGATATTTTGGACAAAGGAGGGGAATGGGATCTTAGATTTGAAAAGCGAGAATGGGTGATTTACAGGTGGTGGAGGAAGAGCGGAAGACATAGGGCAGGCAAATTCTTGCTAGGCAACTCAGAAACAATGTAACATGGGGTATCTAGCTAACAGGCTCCTGCTTGGAGTCTTCCTATCTAGTGCTAGTGTGACTACGCTAAGGTTCCCTTCCTGAAGTTAGGATTTGCTCTCTGAATCTCTTACGCAGGAGAGGGGAGAGAGTCATAGTTCCTTTCTGCATCTTCTTTCTTAATAGTTTTAAATCAATATTTCAAAAGGTAAAACTTTTGGTCCCCTTCATTTTCAGTATGAGGTCTTTCGCCTCCTTTGTTAAATTTATACGTAGGTATGTTATTTTTGTTGTGATTGTAAATGGGATTTTCTTCATTTCTCTTTTGAATAGTTTGTTTTTAGTGTATAGACACAACAGATTTTTGTGTACTGATTTTTACCCTGCAACTTTATGGTTTGTTATTTCTAATAGTTGTTTGGTGGTCTTTAGCGTTTTCTATGTATAAAATCATGTCATTCACAAATAGTTACCTTTGCCTTTCCAATTTGGATACCTTTTATTTCTTGGCTAATTGCTCTAGGTAAGACTTCCTACAATGAATAATCACTTACATGTACTATTTTGTACATATTACGGTATAGTTGTAAGATCAAGCAGCAGACAGGGTTCTTGAGTCGAAGAGGAAATACACTGCCAATTTAACTTCCATAGAATGATAATGGAAAAACCTGTTCCCCCAGCCTTGACAACAATGTGTGGTTAAACTTTTGGATTTTGTGAATCCTCTTGGTGAAAATAATATTTTAGTAGTTTCATTTTCCTTAATATGAATGAGGCTGAGCATCTTCTGACTTGTTTTAACATGATCATTTTGGTTGCTGTGTTATCTATAGACAGGGATAAGGTGAGAAACAAGCTTAGCTAAAATGCTGTTGCCCTGGAGCACTTTAACATCGACTTAGTTGGTGAATTGAGAAGAAAACAGCAAAGGAGTCTAAGAAGTGGTCATTGAGGTAGGAGGAAAACCAAGAGATAGGGGTGTCCCAGAAGGCAAGGAAAAAGTAGGGCACTTTAAAAAGTGAGGAGTAGCCCTGGCTGGTGTAGCTCAGTCGGGGTTGAGTGCTGGCCTGTGAACAGAAAGGTCGCTGGTGGCACGTCCCTGGGTTGTGAGCGAGGCCCGCAGATGGGGGCACGTGGGAGGCAACTAATTGATATATCTCTTGCACATTGATGTTTATCTCCCTCCCTCCCTCCCCCTCTCTCTTAAAATAAATAAAATTATTTTTTTTAAAAAAAGTAAGGAGTAATCAAACTATGTCAAATGCTGCAGATAGGTCAAAAAAACCAAGGATAAAGAAGTGGCCAGCTAGTAACTTGGAGGTCTTAACAGTTGGAGTAAAAGGGTGAGACAAGGTCCGATTGGACTGCATGTGGGAGAGAACTGAACACAGCAAACATAGCTCCTTTTTGAGGGCAGGGGGTAAGATTTTATTTTTTTAGAGAGAGAGAGAAAGAGAAATACCTATGTGTGAGAGAGACATCCGTTGATTGCCTCTTGCATGCCCCCATCTGGGGACCTGGCCCACAACCCCAAGCATGTGACATGACTGGGAACTGAACCAGCGACCTTTCAGTTGTCAGGCCGGCACTCAATCCACTGAGCCATATCAGCCAGGGCACAAATGCTTTCCTAGAACTTTGAGTCAAAGGGTTAACATATTGTCTTATAAAGGGAAATAGAGAGGAGCTGGAGGAGGATTTGTAAAGAGGTTTGTTTTTCTTTAGACAAGACATATGGCATACTAATGGGAATGATTCAGTAGAAATTGATACAGAAGAGAGTACAAGGGGGGAACCAAAAAATCCTGGAATTATCTTCTGGAGGGAAGCCTGAACCCTTATAGTACAGGCTTCTCCTGCTAGGTCAATGTTCTAGTAACCCATCTGTATTAGTGTACCAGCTGGCATTGTTGTGAGAGTCTGCATTTGGTTTCAGTGAAATTTTTTTTGAAGACTCTTTCAGTGCATTTGCCCATTTCATGATAAGTGATTTACGAGTGCACTTTCCCACACCTCACGGAATGTTCAGCAGTTTTTGACCAAAAAATGGCATGACCCGCCCGCCCCCCCCCCACCCCGCCCGTCACCAAATCTCATTCCAAGTGACTTTTTTGTTTCCCTGGATGAAAAAAAGTCCTTAAAGGGAAACATTTTGTCAGTGTGGAAGAGATGAAACAAAATGACAGAAGCACTAAAAGGCATCAAAATTGACGAGTTCAAAAACTGTTCTGAGCAGTGGAAATAAGTCTCAGTAGGTGTATTGCATCAAATGGAGAGTACTTGGAAAGTTCCTGAAGTTTAAATGTGTAAGAATACACAACTTTTTATAAATAAATAGTTTTTTGGGAGGCCCCCCTATGATGATACAGGAGTGACATCCTTGTCCGGGCTCCAGAGGGTGGGTTCCAGAGGGTGGGTGCATGAGCTTTGGCGCTAGTGGGTTGTTAGATGTGAAAGCTGCCTAACTGCTTGCATCATCCTACTGAAATAGCGTGGACATCGGCTCAGAGAAAGGTGGGGGAAGGAAGAGATGTTGGAGGTTGGAGAGGAAGTCCAACATAAATGGAGGAAATTTAATCTATTTGCTGGAAAACAGCAGCTCACTGGTCAGTGGTTATGAACTTGGCCCAGCCAGCAGGGTTGTATTTTTCTATAGTCATGTTCAGTAAGTGGTGTAGGCAGAGTCCAGTTGAGAGTTCAATTTAACCAAGGTACGGGATTTACCAGGTGAATACAATGCAATAATGACAGCAAGGGAGCAAATTAAAAGAATCTAAACTGGGTGAGGAACTGAGGACATGAGAGGAGTTGAAGGATAGTGATAAAGGTAGTAGAGCCGGTGGATCGTAGGCCCTTGTGGTGTTTAGAACTGTAGTCAGGTGTTAGGAAGATAGAGGTCAGAGTGGGATTTCTGGGACTGAGGTCATAGAGCAGTTCCAATGGCAAGAGCAAGGATGTGTTTTTTGGAGAAAATGGCTGGTATCAGGAGGATGACTAAGATCTTTGGAGAAGCCAGGGAACTGAGAGGTGAGGTTACTGGTTCAACTGCGTGGCCAGTGAAATCACTAGGAATTATGACAGAAGGAGTGTGGGGCAAGGGACCAGGAGCCAGGTCTGTAACGAGCAGCAACAAAATGGGGGTGGGAAGCAGGTAGCAGCAGACTAACCACACCGCCCCCTTTTAAGGAAGGACACTGTTGGAGGAGCTTTGAGGGATCGAGACACTTGATAGCCTCCTCCCACAGTGCCCCACCCCCTGGCAGAGTCCTGCAGGGCTGAGCCAGGTCTCAGCTAGGCAAAGTGACAGGGGCGTTCAAAGCAGAGATGGGGGGCTTAGGGAGGGATTCTATTGGAAGTCTAGGCGCAAAGTGGAACAGTTGTGCAACTGAGGAGGAAAGAGAGATGGAGGTCAGACTAGGGGATTTATGTGAAGATGAAAATCTAGGTGATGAGGAATGACAGGAGAGCTTGAAGGGATAGCTCCTGCTGAGAAATGGAGCAGACTGGCCAAGAAAACCGGAGCTCGGGCCTGTTTCCCCCATTGTGCCTGGAAGGCACGGCCTTAACTGCGCACAAGGCGTTCAACCTAAAGGCAGAACAGTTACGGCTCAGAGATCCTGGTTCAAAGGTACTCCTCAGAGGCGCCATCTCGGACAGTTCCTGCTGTTCTTCCTCTGCTTTCCCATTATTCTTTTTTATTGTCTTTACAGTCAGTATCCAAAAACCTGGTTATTATTTGTCCTTCTTCCCCATCCCTCTTCCTGGGCTTATGACTGCTGTGTTTTGGTCACTTGAGATAGTGCCTGGTATGTAGTAAGCATCCAAGTTTAACTGAGTAATTGAATTGTCTTGAATTTATTGTAAAATGTTCCTATTGGTCCATACATGCATCAAATATTCAGTGCTTCCATCAGGTAATTTTCTATCATTATAAATAATGTGGACAGAACAAAAATTCCTATTTTCATAGGACTTAGGTTCTAGGGGTGCAGAACTCACAGCTCTGTGAGTGCTCTTCATGTATTTTGATGTTTACAGAAACAGCACACAGCAGGTATAGTGAAACTGAAATGCCGGCACGTATCACTCAAACCATTATCTGTATCCTAGATATCAATTGCCCCAAGTCTAGCTTCCATTCATGCCTGACTTGAGTAACTTCACCTGTTGCTAATTTAAAATGTTTCATAGCAGCCTAGAGCATCTGTACTTCTAACAAAAGTGCATTAAGAAGGAGTGAGGTTCATGTCCTGCTATTTTATTCTTCAGGTCACATCTGAGAATCAGTTTTGTTGAAGCAGTTTTTTAAATGGGACAATTTTATTTCTCCATTTTTCCTAGAATGGGCCTTGGCAAAGTGTGATCTTGTTATCCATTTTTCTTTCAGGTAGCAATTGTTGTATTAGGAAACAAAATCGACCTTTCTGAGCAGAGACAAGTGGACGCTGAAGTGGCACAGCAATGGGCAAAAAGTGAGAAGGTGCGACTGTGGGAGGTAACGGTTACAGATCGGAAAACTCTGATTGAACCATTCACTCTCTTAGCCAGCAAACTCTCCCAGCCCCAGAGCAAATCGAGCTTTCCTTTGCCCGGGAGGAAAAACAAAGGGAATTCTAGTTCTGAGAACTGAAAGTCAGTGCCATAGTTGTTTGTGGAATAGTGATTGCCTTTAAGTGTCTGTGAACGTGTTTAAAGTAGGCCATTTATTTGTAGCTGCCTTTGGTCGTTTGGAAATCCCTAAGGAAGTAATTTAATGCACATTATGTTTAAATTATTTGGGCTAAGTTTATTATTATTGCCTGATACAAAATAATGTAATGTATTCTGGCTGCTTGGAATTTGTCCCTGATAGTAGCAACTATATGTACCTATGAGTAGTGCCCCTGCCCAATGTTTCAGAAGCTACCATTCTGTAAACTTTATGCATTTTTAGCTCAAAGATAACTGTTTTAAAGAAAGTCATCAGTCATCTAATGCCTAGAATTATAAAATGGCATTTTTGTGTCTTAGATCAAACAGTAAACAATTTGGGTACTAAGCTGAATTTTATGTGGTGGAGGTCTTGCTAAATAGAACAAAACCTATGGTTTAGCTTTGTTCAAATTACACATTTAGCATGACTGGAGGTAGTGGTTGGTATAAATAACGTTCAAACTGTTTCTTTAGAACTCTCTTAGGCCCATAAGGATAGAAAACTTCTGTTTTCCACAAGGAATACTATACCTTCTGGAACAGTTTTCTCGATACATAGTCAGGTGGAATAAAACGTATCATAAAAATATTGGACTACACGTAGTCTTCAAGCTGGATATCTAAGTTCGTGCTCAGGTGCTCTGAAGATTTTGGCAAGGTCTGAGCAATGGAGCTCACTGTAGTTGGCAGGCTGACAATATTGTAACTAATTTTAAAAGTAGGAAGCAAGCACTTAGTGGTTTCAATATGAAAGCACTTAACTAATTTAAATGTAAAACAAGAAATAAGCTGTTCAAGCAAAGAAATGGGAACATCATCTAGTAAATTTTAAAATCTTCAATGGTATGCTTTTAGGTTAGGCTAGTATTGCCACTGTGTAATTCTTTAAAATTTCTCATCACAAATACATTTTTGGTCAAAAATTATCACTCAGATAAGTCACCCCCTACTTGCTCTCCCACTTGAGTTTATCTTGGAGCTTTTTTCCTATGTATTTTACATAGATGGATAAATACTTTTACAATTATTTCAAAATAATATACTAGAGCGTCCTGCAATTTGCTTTTTCCTAGTGAACTCAGGTCTGTGTTGACATGCATCTAGTTACCATATTCCTTTTAAATGCTTACTGAATGTGTATGCACCTCTGGGGTGGATACCAAGAGCTAGAATTGCATTACCCTGTAGGTAAGAACACTTAGGTGCTGCCAAATCGCCCTCTAATGTGGCTGTACTTATTTATCCACGAGGGAACCCATTTCCCATGCACTTGCCACCATGGCATCTTAGAAATGCTTTTTAAAAAGTTAATCTTTGAACTGCTTTTAAAAAAGTTAATCTTTGGGTTCATCTTTGAAAGACAGTGGGTTAGATTAACCTTTTCTAAGGCCCCAAAGATGTATCTTCCAAGGCTGTTGTATAAATTAAAGTAATATACCAATTCATTGAGTCTGTAATTACTTCTAGGTTGCTTTATAGCACAGATCTATCAAGTTTTAAAAAAAAGTAAATGAATACATCAGTTAGGTGGTTGTTTTAATATTGTTTATTAGCACAGTAACAAATGCAGACTTAAGTAGTCTGCAACATATAACCAATTCACTGAGCAACTCCTATTCCACGCCTTACAGTTAACAGCTTAAGGTATTTTACTACAGGTTTTCACGAGTCCTGATTCAAACCTCTAATCTTTTCACAATAGATTGGCAAATAATATAAAATACGTAGCTACTCATTTCCTATATGGTATCTTATAGCCATGTGTCCATTTAATATATACGAGATGACAGTCTCTAAAAACTGTTAAATATCAATGTTCCCTTCCAAGAGGGGAAAACAAGTTTCTTTTTTTTTTTTAAACAAAAAAAGCATGTAGTCTTGGACGTCACAAAAATGGCCATGTGTGTAATCTGTACAAAATTAGTTTTAAATTTACAGACTACAAGCAACTGAATCTGAAAGTCTATTCTTCTCTGTACTACATCTTAGCTTATGCTGCAGAACTAATGACAGTTTTAAATGTTGCTATTACCAAATCTGTCTACTGTAGCAAGATACCTTAAGTTACAACAAAATCTTAGGAAATAAGACTGAATAATATCTGTTATAGAAATACCCTACTCTTTACCAACTCCCACCCTCCCCCACCCCTTCAAAATCATAAGCAGCTCTCTCTGTGACAGACAAATAATGTAAGAATTGTGAAAACCCAGTTTATGTAGCGTATCTCTTGGTCCACTGTCTGGCCATTCTGTCATGTTCTGCTCTGTTGGTCATATACTGAGTGGCAATACTTCCCACCAGAGGGTCGGCTGGAAGAAAAGAATGTAGATTACTTTGGAGAAATTAAAAGAATATTAAATTTTAGCAAATAAATTAGTGACAGCTCGGGTGGAAATGTTTTAGGGATGTGTGATCAAATCCATCTTTGAAACACCACCCTACCATTCTGGGTAGTTTAAAAAAAGAGCACACAGGGTGGAAAATTCTTACCAAATAGAATGCTCAGGTTTTTCCTACTGGTCTGGCTTTATCTTCTTCATTCTTTCCATTTCTCTCCCTACAACCACTACCCAAATGGAGGGATTTTCTTGCTATTATGTGTTAAGAGTAAATTTAATAGAAACTGGAATGTTGACAGCTCCAGATACAATGAACATCCAGCTGAGTTCACATGACCTTTCCTTTGACTGAAGGGGGGCAATTATGACACTGAGTACACTGTATAGTCCTCATGGCTGTTGCAATATAATTATTTACCTCTATACTGTTTACCTAGAAAGAACCTGGACCTCCAAGGCAGACCAGGTCAAAACCTGGACGTAAGTATAGTGTTTTTCTGAATCCTAAATAGAACCTTTAATAATTAATTTTATATTTGCTTTACTTACAAAATTTTTTTTTAAGTAAGTCCCTCCCATCCGCATCACAGTCTGGTAATCAGTGAGTATTTAGCAAAGAAATACCACTTTCAAAATTGACCGCCTCAGAAACTACGTATAGGGCAAGTGCTCAGTAAACTTGCAGACACAGCTGAGGTTACAAAGGCAAGTGACTCAACATGTAGAAGGTTGTGGTTTGTTTTAAGAGAACCATGTGAGAACTATATACAGGGGGCAAAAGAGGGTTTACAGTTGTGACTATGTGAACCAATTTATTTTTGTATTATTTATTCTATTATTTCCCATTTATAACTGTAAACCTACTCTTGCCCCACCCTGTACAAAAGGAAAATAAATGAGAATGACTGAAAAATGTGAAAACATATGAGAAACTGAAAGTCTTCAGTTTAAAACGAATAACTTGGTTCCTAGAACATCATATCAATGCTGCATTTTCAACTAGTAGATTGAACTTTCGACTAAAAATTTCTTTGAAAGCTGTTAGAAAAATAAAATCTTACTTTAGAAAATCTTAGTTTATGTGGAAAAAACTATTTTTCGGGCAAGGAAGAATAAAACAAAGTAAAGAATTATTAACCTTACCAGGATTACAGTCTGTGAGAAGGGAGCAGATAGAAAGGAGGACTTTAGAAATGGTTAGTGCTGGGCTCCAATTATCTTTCAATATGTCCAAGCAAATAACTCCTTGACTGTTAATATTACAGTGATAGATTCTTGTCCGAAATGTAACCTAAAAAAATAAGATAGTATTAAACACTGAACAATGAAACTTTTTACTAGATCACTTTTTTAATTGAGTGGCCCTAATTAAAAACTTCTTAAAAGTTTTTTAAAAGGTGAGTTAACGGTTTAACTAAAGCTGGTAAGAGATAGGTTAAGAGACTATTTAATAAATTTGAGATTTAAAAATGTTCATTGTATAATCTTAGGGACTGTCAATTTCATTAAAAATATCCATCAACAAAAAGCAAGGTAATCTAAATACAGTATTTCCTGAATTCACCTTGAGCAGTTTTAATGTTGTAAATGTTTTCATAAATTTCCAAGTTTGAATAGCTAATTGTTTGCTGACCCCTTGTGTGAGCTGGTAGTACTACAAGGCCTCAAAATAAGCTTTAGAATTGTAAATTCAAACTGAGGTACATAAAGACAATTAGACAATGATCACACACCCAAACAACTGTAATAAAATCGGAAGATTTCTATTGCCTTTTCTGGCCTTCACATCAGATCCTGCGGGTATCCTGTCCTCTTAAGTCACGGAATTCACTAACGGAGTCACCACAGGTGAGGAGACAGGCAGAGGCCACATGACCCTGGGTTATTTTGTTTGGTCTAATTTTTTAAATACCCCTGGATCATGCCAAAGTAAAAATAACGTGTAGCTTTACCATCTATTTTTATCGACAGACTTTCTTTCAATCACTTGCTTCTGCAGTTGTGCATGTACCTGACAGTGTGCCCCATCCCCAGGACGAGGTTCTCCTCCTGACAGTGTGGCTGAGACTCGCAAGCTGCTGGTGTTCCAGCAGGCGGGCAGATTGGGCGGTCCCACCCATCCTGGGTCAGCCATCCTGGGTGAGACATCTTTTGGTGGAGGTTAAGAATTTCCCCACCACCAAAAGATGTCAAAGAGTAGGATCTAAGGCTTTGGTAGGAGATTCTCGTTCTTAATTGCCTTAGTGAGTGAACATTTTGATGCCATTTTAAACTGTTCAGAAACTTTTTGTTGAGTGGAAAGTAGGGGATTAATTGCTGTGTTACTATAAATAAAGTAGTAGACGTCCCCCCACCCTCTTATCAGTTGTATTGCTTTCCACAAGTTCAGTTACCTATGGCCAACTGTGGTCCAAAAATATTAAGTGGAGAATTCCAAAATGAACAATTCATGTTTTAAATTATGAGCCATTCTGAGTGGTGTGATGAAACCTCACGCCATCCTGCTGGGGATGTGAACCACCCCGTTGTCCATACCCACATGCAGACGCCTCTCGCTCGCAGGCATCTGGGTTATCAGGTCAACTGTTAGGGTGTTCTAGTGCTTATTCATGTGACCCTTATGTAATAATGCCCCAGTCTCCTAACTTTTATTACAGTATGTTACATCCTACTTTATTATTAGTTGTTCTTAATCTCATACTATGCCTAATTTACAAATTTAACTTTATCATAGATATGTATGTATGTATGTGTAAGAAAAAACAGTACAGTTGACCCTTGATTATGGGTTTGAACTGTGTGGGTCCACTTATATGGATTTTTTTCAATAAATACTATAAATGCTTATGATTTTTGTTAATAAAATTTTCTTTTCTCTAGCTTTATTATATGAATGCAATATGTAATACATATAACATACATGTGTTAATCAATTGTTTATTGATAAGGGTTCAGGTCAGCAATAAGCTATTAGTAGCTAAGTTATAGGAGACTCAAAAGTTACACGTGAATTTTCAACAGCACAGGGGGTCAGCACCCCTAACCTCCACACTGTGCAAGGGCCAACTATACACAGCCTTGGTACTCTCCGTGCTTACAGGGGGTCTTGGAACACCCCTCCTGGGGTGGAGGGGGGACCACGGTAGCAGGACCAAACAAAACACTTACTCCTAGATGTGGTCTGCCAAACAAGGCCAAGTCAACCCAAAGGAGTGTTTTGTATGCATTCAAATTACTTAGAGATTCTCTAAGACAGTGATTCTCAGTCGGTGTATCACAAGAATTTTTTAAAACATGCAATAAAGGGGCATGTTTTCCCTCTTTTTCCCTTAGACTGCCACATGAAAAACTGACAAAAGCCAACACAGCTATAGCTAGCCAGTGTCAGATTGTTGCCCCCCCAAAATTGTATTTTTTGGTATGCCACAGAATTTCAGTGGTTAGTTTCTGTGCGCCATGAGATGAAAAAAGTAGGAAAATCGCTGCACTAAGATACAATACGAACCTATTTTTTGTGATTGGAAACAATTTTAAAAGCTTCAATAATCTCTCATGGAAATACGTAACTTTAGTATAAATCAGAGGAATTTCTTACCTTTGGAGGCTTGAAGGGGTACTCTGGTGTAAAAGTGATATCAAGGAAGAATACACCACCCTCATACACGGATCCCGGTGGCCCTAGAATGGTTGATCTCCATTCATAGATGTTATCGCCTTTGGGACCAGCACTGTGAAATAATGTATCAGAAGATAAATAATGGAGGCACTATCCCATTATCAAATATATCAAAATAAGGAAAAAGATCCCCTTTCTTCTCCCGTTTTCTCTCCTTAATGTGTGGGTTCTCTCCACAAAACAGAAGTATCTTTTGGTCACAATCTGGTGCAGGACTATACCCAGCCCACCATCCTTAGGTCAAGTAAATCGAATAATAAAATAATGATCAACCCAATCTTAGACTACTTAGCTGTGAATAAGCAAGAAACTCACTTTTCAAACCTCATCATTAAGAAAACATAAATACTTCAAAAGAGAGAAACACTCCTCAGCCACAGAAGGTCTTTGCTCCCAGCTACATCATTTCTGATGACCATTTTAAGCACAAAAGTTTAATTTTCGACCCATTGGGGTTTTTCCTTGCCCACCCTTGAAATTAAATCTCTCATTTCACCCTAAAAGGAGTACAATAA